ATATATACACTCCTAATAAATAGCTGTCAACAATTATTTTCTATGCGTAACTGCCATCATGCAATTTCTAATACAGAACTGCTCTAGTACAAAAACAATAATTTTCCTGATAATTAGCTAGCCAATTCATAAATGGCCCCTTTATTAACTAACTAGTATCTCAGTTCCTATGAGAAACGTGTCCCTTTGTCGTAGGCAAAGAAAGAAACCTCATATAATAGGAAAATATTACGTATATCACTACCTGGTTTGGCCACATGTAGAGAGGCATGTAACCAGCTGCGTGTTGATATAAAAAGGGAATCGGAGTAGACGCAGAATTGTTATATGCCTATTTAAAAGAGATGTACACAGTCAACTTTTTTATACGCGACAAACACCAAGTATGAATGATCTAAATACTAACACAAATTGGTTCCAACCGGAAAATGTTTTTCACCTGCATAGGAGTCCAGTGTGTTGGCTTGTCAAGAATTTCCTGCTAGAAACAAAAAATAGAATAAAATAAATTAGAATGTTAGCTAAAATCAGATTGCAGAAAAAGAAAATTGGTTAAGATGGCATTGGCATGATTACTGACATCTTCAGGCTCCAAATAATTGTAAGCTGTATCAAACATATTAGATTTTTGTGTTCCCATCACGCTTGAGAAGCTTCTAACTCAGTACCTTTCAATATGAACAGCCACTTTTAAATTAAAAATAAAATACCAAGTGAATGATAATCCATAAATGAACATGGACGGGTTCATTTAAAAATGTGAGCAAGCTGTGCTAAAGAAAAATACAAACAACATAAGACCACGATCCTTTTTCTTCGAATGCATTTTCTTCAGAAGGATAATTGTCAAGAAATATTTGGTAAACTAGATTGAAAGTTGAATTTCATCAATTAATTGAACACACCCACTCAAATTGGCATTGGCAGATAATGGATGATCAAGTTTCATCCATTCAAACTTTCAAGAAACAAAGAGAATAACTGTTTCATTAGTACTTATTTGAAAAATCTTGTAGGCTAGTTTGAACGAACTTCCCAATAAGCTCTCTAAAGATAAAAAGAATGAAAAGAAAAATTAGCTTATACAACATGTACTAATTTGTGAAAGTTTTTCTCATATATATTTTCTCTATTTTTTGTGTGTTTGTAGTTTCTCTATTTTTTTTAAAACCTGTGCATAAGCTAATTTAGCTTATGGATAAGTCAAATTGATCATTTTCTTCTTAATTTTTTTCCCGAAAAGGATCTATGGAGAAGCTAATCCAAACATAACTTTTATAAAACAACTATAAGCTTAACTACGAAGCTTCCTATAATAAATTAAGGATCTTAATTTTTGAAATAAGCATAAAAAAATTTACAAGGTTATGACACTATTTCCATAGGCCCAATGAACTCTTCAAAACGCTTCCCAAATAATATCCAAACAAATAATAAAGGTAACTAATTTCCATTTAAAAAATATAAAATTGAAACTGTTCTCTCCCTTGCCCCCAAATTTTTGTTCCTTTCAATTCAACACGGACAGGCATAATGAGGGAACCCTCTGTACAAAGAATAAACACTGCACTGCCATAAAAAACCAAGAACATAAATGCAAACACATTCCCAAATTTTTGTAATGCAAAGATGCTCACAGAATGAAAATTGCACTGTCGGAAATTCTCCAATAAAATAAATTCTACAAACTACATGACGAAAAAGGGTAAAAAGATAGCATAGAAAAGACGAGAAGATAAAGCACATAACAAACACGTTTGAATCATTGAACAATAGCAATAAGGGGAAACAAACAAAAACAAATTAAAAAATTGAAGCAATTAAAATCTAAAAAGGTGAAATGAAAGCTTCAAATCTAGCAGAACTGAAAGAGTAGCGCATGAGAGAAAGAGAGAGAAGAAGGAGAAGAAGAAGAAAGGGAAAGACGAAGACCTGTGTGGCGCGAAACACAAACTAGTGTGTTGTGAGTGAGTGTATTATATTGTATTAATTAATAAATAAATAGAAAAATAGAACGGAAGCACTGTTTTATTATTTTGAATTGTAGAGAAAATTATATGGTTCTTCATTAATAGGATTAAAATTTGTTTCATAATGAAATAATTTTTTTTTCTTTTACAATTGAGCGAAAATCAAACCGTCATTTTCAATAATATCTACGGCCACTTGTTTTTAGGTTATAAATAAATTCATATATAAGATATTATTTTTCATTTGTTCATACAGCGTAACTTTATTATTTATTCTATAGTTGTCTTATATAAGGTAAAATTTTTATTTTTAATCTTAATAAGTAAAATATTGACAATTGCACAAATGCATTTACTTATATTATAATTTAAATAAACTTTAGTTTATATAATTTATTTTATCTGTTATATTATATACTTTACTACTTCGAGATATTGTTCGACATATTAATATTAGTATACGAAATATTTGTTTTATTTTACTATTTTAAAATATTTCATATTGTATTGTATGTTTAATTAATTTGTACGTTATACTTATTTCAAACAATTTGTGTATCTATTTAAAATACGTTTATTTTTACTTTATTTTAGATTTAAATAAATATTTTGTGAGAATTGGTATAAGATTAATAATAAACACACAATAATTAATATATATATATATATATATATATATATATATATATTGAAAAAAAATAACACAAATTAAACAAAAAAAATTAGGATAACATTAAATATCTGAAAAATTTAAGGACTACTTTGAATAAAATTGACAAAAATAGGGATCAAAATATGTATTAAGTCAAATTTCTTAAGAGGATTTAATAGGAGATCTTAGAGACAACTGTAAGTTTAACAAATTGTTTCGGTTTAGGGGATCGAGAGACTGCCTCCTTGTCCAAATAATCATATGCTTCCAACTTTTGATTCTCAAGTAGTCTTTTGAGTCATTCGGTCTGTTAAGGAGTTACCTGTAGGAAGCACTATAACCCTCAAGTTAGTGACTTTGTTTAATAATGTTGTGATAAGAAATGAATTATAAAAAAAAAGTATCATCTACTTCAAAGTCAAACCTATATTTATAAACCTTGTAATGAGTTTTCAATTAAGTCTGACCCATTAGTTACTAATTAATGACTTTTATTATTTTCATTAATTTCCCATTATTGACATTTATTGCTCATTAATGACTTTTATTGCTCTAATTAATTATCGGTTAATTATCGCCCCCTGATCGGTCGGCTGTTGTTGGATGATCGACCGCTCCATTTGTGGTTGTCCAGACGGTTATACAATACACAAATGAATCAAAAAAAAAATTAAACAAATATTGCTTTTTAATACTAGTTATAGATAAATGACATGTAATATAAAGAGATGGAGGATAAAAATATTTATGCAAGTTATTTTTATATTGATTCATGTGATAGTGTAATATTATGTTCAATTCTCAATCATCATCTTATCAAGTTCCACTAAAAAGACTAACATTGTGAAAATAAAAAATAATTATTATTTGCACCTTAGCCCAAGTGGCTAAACACAAAATATTGTTTGGAATGTAATCACTTTTAATTAAGATTGAATATTATTTTAAAGCCAATCACTCTTGGTTAAAACAACTCCAGTTTTATTTGAATACACAACCACTTCTGACTAAGACTAAGTACTTTTTTGGAAAACAATGACTCTTGGCTAAGGTTGAGAATTCTTTAGACAACATCCATTGTTGGTTAAATTGCATATTCTTTGGACAATAGTCATTCATAACTAAAAACCTAAAATGTTTATAGCGAAAGTGATATAAAATATGACTAAATCGTCACTAAAAGAGAGGTTATGTCTTAAGACGAATATAATATTTGGTTCAGTCTTATAGGTTGTTTCCAAACACAAACAATGTTCTCTCTCACAACTACAAAGACTAAGGATATATTAAGATACTATGCTCGCTTTTGTCCAATACTTAAGCTTTTTTTCTTTACAAAGATCTTTTATATAAAGAGCTTAAAAGAAATTAGTTATTGCAAACCCTTTGCAATTGTTGTGAAGGTCTTCTTTTTCTATTGATTTGTTCTTGCATACGAGCATGCTTTAAGGACATTAAATGTTATTGACTTGGCAATGAATGTGTGTGACTTATTTGGCAAGACCTTTAAAGCCTGATAAAGCTTTATATACTTTGGCAAGTATCTTATTTCTTCTTTTTTCGAGTAAAGCATAGGGTTTGACATAACTAGCTGACTTCACAACATTGTCGTGTTGCCTTTTTTTCATAAAAGTTGTTTACATGAAGTAGCTCTCAACATGTTGTTCAATATATCTTGATGATAGCAATACATTGTGTGATACTATCTATTGAAAGTCTCACATCGACTGAGATAAGACCAATTTAGAGTATATATGTAGATGTAAATCTCACCTTATAAGTCGATTTTATGGGGTTGAGTTAGGATTAAAGTCCACTTCTTAATATAGTATCAAAGTAATGGGTTAGAACCTACCCTAGTGAGATTTATTTTTGTTGGGCATATCATTCCACTTGTTATTGGACCACTCATTAATGTATAGTCTCTTACGATATGTATATACCTAAGCGTGAGAGGGGTGTGTTGGAAGTCTCACTTCGACTATAGATAAGGTCAATTTTAAAGTATATATGTAGGTGTAACACTCTCAATAGAATGAAGAAGTGTACAACTCTTACAAGCATAAAATAAGCATTGATTAAAGTTTGACGTGTTATGAAATGCTTAAGGCTTACACTTGTCAGATATAGTATACTCATTATTTGTTCAAGCAAAAACTTATTTGAAAAAGTATACTTTATTGTGTATGTTTAATCAAAATCTTATTAGACTGGGCATGTGCATAACTTTTGAGTATGTAAGACAAAATACACTTTAAATAATGTATGTGTATATCAAACCACACAACTTGCATTTGTTAGGCTAGTTTAAGTACTTTTAAGAAATTATATTTTACACTTGGTTATTTAATCACACAATAAAAATCAAACAAATAATCTATTAAACTTGGATTTAACAATATTTGTCTTTTTCATGGTGCTTAACAATAAAGTTTAAACATGTATTTTTAAAAACACATTTTCACCATATAGGTTTTCATGAATGACTTTTAAGATAAAGAAAATGAACTATAAAGTAGAAGAAACAAAGGGATTTAAATGTTCTTCTTCTCTTGAACTCTCGTCACACATATATTGTTTATTGAACTTTTGAAAACTTTTACTAGAACTCACTTAGCTTAAGCTTCTTCTTTTTTATTTTCTTCCTTTTAACTAAGCTTTCCTTAAGCATAATCAAAATCATCAAGTTTTATATTACTTTAACTTTATTTTTATCCTTTCTCCATACGAGGATCATCAAAAGATGACTTAGATCAAAAGATAGATGTTTCTCCCCCTTGATTGTAACTTTATTCTTTCGATGAGTTTGAGAAACTTGAATCTTTATCTTACCTTTTAAGGGTGCTGGATGATTTTATAATAATATGTTAAATTTTAATTGTACAAACTTAACATAATAGCTACTACAAAGACATGGTTCCATCTAGTCAAATTGACTTAAAAAATATTTGCTTAATGAGAACATTTTGCTATACAGATGACATGTTCTTCAGGTATTGAGTTTATAGATGTTGTGGAGGGGTTGATAAAAAACATATTTCATACACACAATTATTTTATTATATGGTGATTCCAACTTCTATTTGTCTTATTTTTTTTAGTTTATTTTATGTCATAGTAATAAATTAAGTTCATTTTTAATAATTGCTTTAAATATGTAATTTTTAGGTTATCTAACATTTGCTACTATTTTAACACAACTTTTGTTTTGTAGAGATTTTTTTTTTTTTAATTCCAGTTCTTGGACTTTTCTATTATTTTTTTTATGATTTTTAAAAGTTAAGATTGATTTGCTAAACTTTTGTAATGAAATCTTATGGGTTTGACTTTTGTAATTGGACTTCTAACTTGATCAAAGTCCAAATTATGCCCATAACTGTTCACACTTTTTTTTTTTTAAATTAAGGTTTAGGTAAAAGCCATTAGAGGTCAAATTTTGTCCTAAAAAGATAGAAAAATCAAGATCCAACAATATGAATTGAGTTATTGGATCTATCGTTATTATTTGCATCGAGTTTGTTCTCTTTTTCGCTAATTTTGATTTCTGCGATATACGTGTTTTTAATTAAATTAAATGGAATAATAATTTATTTATAATGAATTGAATTGAATGATATTGTAATTTAATTTATATAATCAATTTAGTCAATTGGTTGAATTAGTTAAGTGTTCAAACTAAGATTGAATATTTAGAAGACTATATTTCTAGACTATTTGATTCTTTGAAATTTGGATTAATTTGTGTTCTATTTTTTACTTTTTGTTTTTAATCTTTTATTTTTTTTCAATTTACATTTTTCAATTTTAAATCCTAAACCCTTAATTTTATTTTGTACAAAAAAATACTAAAAATTAAATATAATTTATCTAGATTGTGCTTTGTACTATGTAATTTAGAGAATCTAGATTTTTTTTTATTTCACCTTCGTAGTGAAAAATTATAATCTTAGACATGTGGTTCAAAATACATTTGTCCTTTGTGCATAACACTTATCCATTTGTTAGAATTTTGTTTGATGAATATTATTTTCTTGTGAAAATAAATTCTTTTGGTAAGTAAATTTTCTTGATCCTTTGTTGTTAGTTTTAGATGATGTCTCTTATTTTTACATTAAAACTTATGTGTTCATATTATTAAATTATGGAAAAACAACCTAGTTAACATGCTTATTAATACACGTTTTAACCTTTTTAAGTCATAGTAATGGTCAGATTTGTGTAATGCATGTTTAAGTAGTGTCCTTAATTAGAATTAAGATTATTTCCATCACAAGGATAACTTCATCTTATCAGTCCTCTCCTACTATTAAATATAATTAATATTTATCAAGTTTATATTTTATTATTT